ACAGTGGCAGGTATGATGTTGAAGAGTGAGGTGGACCGTGAGCTGTTTCTTGGGCCTGATTCTGACCTCCTGCTTGCTGGTTTCATGACAGTGCAATACCAGAAGGAAATTCCAGGGTGGGATTAGGACCCATGTTAGGAAAGTTAGCCAAAATGGGTGGTTATGATGCAACGCGAAAGCAATGATACAGGTAGGTTGCTGCTGGCACAGATAAAAAGCACCCACTTGATTTTATCTTCTGAGTTACATCATCATAGATTATGGCCTGTTAAGCATCCTAGAAGCTTTTAAGTGTGGTTTCTGAGAGGCTTTGCTCTTTAGGAGCCTGTTCTTTTCTCTTCCGTCTTTCACACTGAAGGTTCTGAAGTGGCCCAGGAAACCATGCTGTTGTGCAGTGGGTTGGTGGCAGTCGGTGAATGTGACATAACATGTTGCTAATGGTGTGTTCTGGCAGTGTCAGCTCCAAGGCTTGCAGTTTCAACTCAGATTACAGGCTGTGCCTAAGAGGTTTACAGCATAGCTCTGTGTGCTTCATTAGAGTATAAAACCAACCAAGCCTTCTGACCCTAAGACTTGATAATTGTAGCCACCAACTCAGTACAGGTCAGAGACTGGAAAAAGGGAAAATCTACCAGAGCAGGGGGTTCTTGTCAAAGTAAATGCAGCCATTTTAGTGACCCTGTGTCTGTTTGGTCTGGGGCTGCAGTGGTGCTTTTCTGTCTGAGATTGAACTCATGCAGCTGCACCCTCTCAGTCTGTGTAAACCTGTGTCCCTTGTCTAAGGGCAGAAGAGGGCAGACCTCCTCTGTAGAGCATCAAGAGAGGCCAGGCTGCTTTCTGCAAAAGCTTTGTTGTGAAACCACTCAACAATGAAAGATTAAATGCCCACCAAAACCTCCTTTCTGAAGGGAACAGATGGGTTGTCCTCTTTGCTGACAGAGAATTCCTCTCACAGTTCTGGCACAGAGACCAGCTCTGAAAGGACATTTTAACTTCTGATACTGAGGAGCTGAAGCTGAGGCCAGGGTGATTACAGTTACTGTAGCAGTCCACACCACCTTCAGTGAGGCTTTCCTGTCATTGTCTAACCTTTTTTTATGGAAAGGTCCTTCTGAAAACGTGGAGGTCTCCTAGAGCAACAGCTGGCAGGTCCATGAATTTTAAGATCATGGCTTTATAGTAGTCTGCATGTAGTACTATGCCATGTCCCTTTTTATGCCATGCGTATGGCTATATGGGGAAAAGAGCTGTTTCCCTTCCTTCTGCTGAATGAGCCCACATCACGAGAGCTCTCTTCTATCAGCGTGTTGCTAGGCTTCACTGCAATCACATTCAGATACATGGAGCTACACCTTTTCAGTTAGTTTAGTTGATAACACACTCTTCAGCTGCTGAATTTGATCACCAGACCAGGGGGACAATTAGTTGAGGCAAGGTGGGGATAGGATTTTGTGCATGGTAATGAGGTGAGGTGCCAGTGCCCTTTCAGCTTTTTCATTTTGGTTGATTGGGTTAACCTGGCACATCATAGAAACATCAACATTAGTTGAGATAGAAAGTTACTGCTTCTGAAGCTTTTGCAGTACCTGGCTTGTAAGAGCTTACTACAGAGCTGATGCTTAGAGACACCATCACCGCGCAACAGCAACATTCGTCTTGTGAAAATAATGTTTGTGCAGGGTGCTAGTCCCATGCTTCACTATTCCTCCAGCTAGTAGAGAATTCCATTATTTTACCTGCTTGGGAAAAAGGAAAGTAAATTTCAGGTATTGACTATCCTAGCACATAGTGTTTGAGATACATGGGGATATGTTAAAATATGTTAAACCTTGGAATGAAGATGGTGTCCTCTCAGTTCTGTTGTCACGTACTGTCATTTGAAACTAGACTGTATGTGTAATAAGTCTTGGCTTGAAAGATCATTGTCTCACTGTGAGATTGCCTGTTTCTTGCGGCGCCTTTGGTGCCCCTTAAATAAATAATAGTGTGTTTTCCATGCATTTTTATCTTGGGACGCTGCAGAATCTATAAGTAACTTCTGCTTAAGTGCCACTCAAATTAGCGGAATACGGAAGAGGTCATTATGGAAAAAATAGGTGATTACTGTCAAAAAGGACCATTTTCCTTCCACCAGCAGGCTCCAAGTGCTGTGTGTTCATTCCCACCTCGCAGGATGTATCACATGGTTCCATTCACCTCCATGTGAATTTAGTGATTAACCTCACCTAAAATTTTAATTTCTCCTGGCCAAACCTTTTTGGATTTCTCAGTGCTGTTTTGGTGAGATGTATGTGCAGTGACTAGAGGTACTGCTTTCTGCCTGCAGAAGTGACATCTCCAGCTTCTAAATAGTCTAAAACCAAGACCCACTGCTCCTGTTCAGTAGGGCAGAGTGTAGTTCAAGGTCAGTGTCATCTAACTTATCAGCTGTTTCTCAGAGGCTGATCTGCAAGAAGGATTGTTATTGCTAGGAGAGTTACGAATCATGGGGTTTGCATACTGTTATGACAGCATAAGATTGCACAAATAATCATAAAAAGTTTTAGTGAGAACTAGGCTAGATAATGCTTGATGGCGGGGGGTGCAGTGATGCCAAGGTTGTAAAACTGTATGAAGATGGTTTGTCGTGAGGGGAATGAGCTCTCAGCTGCCACACGTGGTTAAACATCGATTCTGCGCTGGGAAGATCACAGAAATACAGTGTTAAATTGAAAAGGACGAATGAGTTTTTCTGTCAAGCATGGCAAGGCATTACAGGATAGTTTCAAAGCATGATCAACAAAGAGGAATTAGGCCTTGCTTACACCTTTAGAGGGTTTTGCTGGCAAACCTATGCAAGCTGATTCTCTGCAGACAAAACACATAGCTGTATCTACACAGGGATTTTTGCTGGACAACCTGTACTGACTGGGTTTATTTTTTATATGCACATGCTTTTTTAACCAGTTCAAGTGAGTCTGCTCATGTGATTGGTAGTCCTATAACTGTTTTGGTCAAAGTTTTTGATTTCTACTTCTTTACCAAAATGATACCTGTGCAATGCCTACTGTAACCAAATCAGGGCAGCTTGCTAAGCCATGAGCCCACAGGAGGGTTTCTATGTTGGTATAAGCCACCCATGTGCTCACTAGAAGGTATCCTAATTTAAGCAGCGTAAACAAGACTCCTGCCTTTTCCAGGCTCTGTTGACACCGGCTCACTTGTCCTGGAATAACTGTAACCGCACAAGGAGAATTGCATACTTAAAGTAAGGTAATTTCTGGATGCAGACTAGGCCTTGAGCAGCCCAGCTGTCTGCTGTTTCAGAATTTAGGGAGCAAGCGAGAAAAGCCAGGGAGGAAACATGTGAGTGTGTGTGGGATGGGATGAAGATTAATGCATCATTGAGCCTTGGCAAATAAACTGAATCACTGAATCTTTAATGTAGATTAATGTCAGATTTCATTAGTCTTTGTTCTTTGCAGAGGCTTGTGTACTTGAGCGGATTCACGGAAGTGCACAGTTTTTAGATACTTCTGTGTAGGTTTTGTTCATTTGTATACAGTTATCCCAGAAGCTGTATCCATCATGATTTGATAAGCATAATGAAAATGGTCGTTTTGGTTGAGAATTCTTCAGTCATTTTTATTCTGCTGCTTTTGCCAGCTCTAAGGCAGATAATCAGATATGTCTGGTGGTGTGTCTGAAGAGAAGACAAGCTTAGGTTGGAAAGGAAATGTAGCAGATGTGGTAGTTACTGTGCACCTCCTTTCAGCCCAATTCTGTGTGAGCATCTGAGCACTCCCTTGAAGCTCTCATAATTGTTCATTACAACAAGAATTTATGTGCATTCAATTAACAGTTAAATGAGTTCACCAACGTTAGTACTGCAAGTCAGGGCATGTTGGTATACAGAGGAAGTTGGTGATTCTGAAACTGATCTCACTGTGACTTGCTTGGGAGCAGCACCTGGAAAATGATGGGGTGACTGCAGTCTTTTCTGCCACAACAGAAGTAAAAACCAGGATAGACATATCCAAACCTAATCAGGTTTAATTCTCCCAGCTGGAAATGAATCTGCTGGTGTGTGACCCACAGCGTAAGGATAATCAGGACTCTTTGTGAGTCGGTGTCCTCCCCAGAAGGTGTTAAAACTCTTCTGGTTCCTATGGCTGGACCATTAAGAATCTGCAAGACGCAGAATGTGACCTCACACCCGGGGACCAGTGGCTGCGTTTTCTTTGTTGCTCTAGTAACTCCAGGGATCCTGCTTTGGAGAAAGGTTAAGGCTGGTGAGTAAGTTTTGGATAAATTTCAGAATTTCATGTAATTTCTGTTTCATGCTCTGAGGTGTTCCTTTCCTTTTTTTTTTCTTTTTTTTCCTTTTTTTTTTTCCTAAGTGCAGCTCGGCAAACTAGAATTCTCACTTCCAAAGCCTCAACTTTTTTGTTCTTTCCTTAGATTAGTTTAGAGCAAAAACCTGAAATAAGTGCTGGTGAGAGTCAGACTGAGAAATTTTAACTCGATTTCTAATACAGGAATTGCATTTACTATTTTGAAGTTTAATATTTAGCATTGCTTAGGTAGGAAACTGTTTTTTAAGGATTTCTTAAAAGCCAGTAAACTTATAGAACTGTCTTTTACTAAATCCAGAAAAGTGTGGCCACAGTAGGGCAGCTATCAGTTTGAACTCTTAAGGATAGCTGTTTGCTGGTAAAAAAGATTGCTCTTTTCAACTTCCACAACCTGTTTCTAGTTTCTGGCACAGTTTTTCCTCCAGTAAGCCTGGCTGCCTTACAGAAGTGTGTGGTCTAACTCTCCAGAAATAGGTGTAAAATGTGTGAAATGTGCATGTGTAACTATGTACACATTGTGCAAGTCACCCCACACAATCCAAATTTTATGTGTAAGCTGTGTATTATATACTATATTCATAACATACCCTTCATACTACAGATTTATGCTAAAAGTATCCTAATGTTTCTGACAGTTCATGTGTGACTTGAATGCAATCCATATTTCTTGGAGGAGCTAATCTAAGCGGTTTATTTTCCGATACTGCTGATAGGGCTATATCTCTAGATGTCACCGCAGTTGAGATTCTGATGGTAACATATTGTTTATGGGTCACTGCCTTTGTCTGAAAGAATAGGCTGGAACAGAATAGCAAAGGTTAATTAAGTTTGTCTATCAAGGAGGGACAGATATAGATGTCTCTTGTATTTTCTGTGCTAGAATCAAAGTAAGTCAAGGCAGGGTATCATAGACTCATTTTTCCCTTGTGCTAGAAAATATGCTTAGCTGGTTTTAGGAATGAAAGAAAGCCATCTTGGGCAGTGCAAGTGCAGCAGTAGTTGTGAGGGGTGAGCTCATGGGCCGTAGCATTGCAAGGTGGGATAGCAGCAGCAGCCATGGTTTACAGCTGGGGAAACTGAGACTGGAAAGTGTTAAATAAATTGCCCACAGTCACACAGCCCGCAGGTGACAGAGTAGAGATTCCTGGTGTCTGGATTTCCACTCCAGTGCCCAGTGGATGCGTTCTCGCCACCTGTGAATTCTGTCATTTGCAAACACCACCACATAAAAGCAAAATGCGATTTTATACCCCCCTAGAGCTGACTTTATTTTTAAGATAAAGGCAGAAGGAGAAGACCATGATAAAACTTTTAACAGAGTTTCTCTGATGTTTCCATAATTACTGGTTTTGTTCTAAGGCAGCTGTTGATGAGTCATGGGTAAGACAGGCAAGGAAAGCCTGGGTGAAGTGATTTGGCCAAGATCAGGTGGCACACCAGTGCCAGAGTCAAAGGATAGTACTTTGATCTCTTCTGTTGCTCTGAATTTTTTGAAGCCCTTGTCACTCAGGATTAGCATTTGCAACTTCTCGCTACTTGTTCTTGGAAGTAAGCCCCACAGTCAGGGTGAACTACAAATTGTAAAGGTGCTGCTAAGAGTAACACTGGCTTGCTCGCAAGCAAATTGCGGCTGGCAGCTTCTGCAAAGAAAATAATTACCTGGGTGATGTTTTGTCTGAATAAATCATCTGGGAAGAGCAGGACTATTTTCTAGTTTCTCAGGCTGGAAAAAGTGAGCTACCACTGGTCCTGGTCCCTGCCTTTCCTCTTGTTTGTCTCTGGTCTGGCTGCCTCTTCTCCTTGGCTCTCCCTCCATGAAGATGATGTGCAGAGGTTACACAGATGCTGCCAGGAGCTTAGTAGGAGGAGCTGGGCTTTATGTTGTTCTTCCACCAGCTTTTGAGAAAATTTTTTCACAGGAATGGTCTGAACCGAAGCAAGTGCATTTTCCTTGTGCTTCTCTGGTTTGTGCTACCTATTCTGTCACTGTTGGGCACTGCTGTAGGGCTGCACTGACTGTTGTGCCCTGTGATGGACAAATCCTGCTTCCAGCTTGCCTGTTTGTAGACGAGCTGTAACTGCCTCTTGATTTCCCATACTGCCTTTACAAGGGAACATGGAAAGAATTTTTTTTGCGTGTATGGTCTTTTAATCAGCCCGTATTTAGTCCTTCATGGGTTATAAGCATCCCACTGTTGTTTGCAGTACATCCTTTAAAGAGTTACTGTGTGCTGTGTTGTACAGTTTAGGGTAACCCGTAGATGTTGAATAGACTAAATGTGCTTCTCCAATGTCAGTGTCTCCCGCTGAAGTCAATGAGGTCCTTGGTGAATCAATCCTGCAGCTGGGGCAGGGCATGGACAATGTGTGGCTGGGAGGGGATGCACTGTGAGTGAGCAGCTCAGGTGTCCCGGCTCAGGAGCTCAGCTTGCTCTCTGTAAAGGGCAAGTGCATGCCCTTCTTTTCCACAGCACTTCCTCTCCTGAAACTTTACTTGCACTTACACTGCATAGCCTGTGGTGGTATAAAGCAGAGTGGCTTTTGGGACCATCCCAGCCCTGCCTGTCTTGGCCTTGCTGTAGGGCTGGAAGGAGCAAGGGTGGCAGGAGGAGACACCAGCAGGCCAGGCCTCTTCTCCTGATCCCAGCATGGCCCCAGGACAGGACCCAGGGAAGGATCCCAAACCTGGCACCTGGCTGCAGCGTTTGGAAGGCCAGACTGCCCCAGGTTAGAAATAACCTGAATATTCCAGGGCCTCCCCAGGGTTGTTTTTATTGCCCTTTCTGGCACCCAAAAATATGCATGGACTCTCCAGAGCTGCAGGAGTTAATACAGAGGAAATATCCCTTCTCATGGGGAAATTATCTCCTAAGTCCCCTTTTCAATGCAGCGCTAAGGTCAAGAATTTATATGACTGGTTGTTTTTTTATTGTTACTGTAAAATAAGATTGCTAAGCACTATAAAAAGGAAACCTTATGGTTCAGATTTACTGCAGTGTGTATTCTAAACAGTTTAATAAAACAAAACCAAAAGCTTTTAGATTTTCTTCAGCGGTTAATACACAGCATATTCTTTGCAGAGCCAAGCTTCTGGCTGTCGGTCGAACTGTGGTTCATAGACTTGGTGTGGGTAATAAGATTATAAAGCATGTCTCTTGATAGCCAGCTACCACACACTAATAATAATAGTAGTAATAATTCATTGCATCCAGAGATTTTAGGTGAGTTGTTTTTTTAAGAAATGGAGAAAAACTCTTAAAAAAAGGGTTTGAAAGGAAACAGGTCACTGCATCCAGTCTACAGAGAGAGGAGTAATGCATGTGATCCTTTCAGTGCCAGCGAGTCATCCCTCCATTTTGTTACAGCTCACATCATGCTGTCTCCTGCAGGTGACCTTTTCTCAGTTGCACATGTGCAAATGTGGTTGTGCAAGGGCGAGATGGAGATGTGAGGACCATAGATGCTGCCCACAGCCCTGCCCCACCGAGGGGAGGAAGACGTTGTGTGCAAAATGGCAGGCAGAAAGGAGTCTGCTAACTTTTTTCCCCAGTACTTCTAGAGGTGTTGAGCTTTGGAGATCTGCAAATTCAAAATGACATTTGGACTAAGCTTTTGGGTAGTTTGTATTGCTCGTCCATAACTCCAGGGCAGTGGCAGCCTGGGTTTTGTTGGGAGAGTCTGTGCAGAGCACAGATGTCTGTTTCCAAGAGGAGACTGCCCTTTCTCAGAAGAGCAGAGGAAATGTCAGGGGCTCTTTTGAGTTCAGTCTTCCTTGGGAGGGCAAATTAAATTTTTAAGAGCAATTTTCTGTTTATTATGGGTGAAACTTCAGTGCATGTTGAACTTTTCTGCATGAGAAGGGTGCAGATGGTAGAAAAATCACCTTTTAAGTATTGCTTTAATTTATAATAGAAGAACTTTTACTTTCTCAGACTAAGAGAACGTCCTGCTGATCCCTCAGTACATGTGCAAATATGTGCGACTGTGCTGCTGTCAGAAGACAGGCAGAGGTGTACTTTGCATCCTGTAAACAGCCACTGCTTTCTCTTGACACTTAATCTCACTGCAACTTGGCTCCACATGGAAAGGGGGGTGTTGCCCTCTGTCTCAGAGAGTGCCAGCAGGATTTCATGTGTCTCGAGCCACATTAATTCCATACTAAGCATACTAAAATGAATATTGAATTACTAAGAGGAGCCCCGGAAAACAAGGGGTGACTGCATTCTGGCTGCTTCGCTGGGAAGTCCCTGTGGCTCCCTCTGCCCAGACCAGACTCTGGGGATCTGCTGGCATGGAGTGGCCTTGTGGGACAGCAGGTCCACCTCTTGCCTCCACTGCTCCCTGGGTGTGAGATTTGGAGGCTGGGAAGGTCTGAGGAGCAGGGCTTGATGCACGGCTGGCTGGGCCCCGGGGGAGCCACAGTGGAGCTGGCACAGCTCCTCTAACCAAGGCAAGATGCAGCTGAAAAGGCTGTCAAGCTCTTCTGCTTATGAAGAAAAATTCTAACAGCACAGCTGAATGTGCAGTGCTGTTGGCACTGCTACGTTTATACCTGGTACAGAACTGTTGATATTATTTTCTCTGCTCGGAAGCTTTCCATCTCACAGTCATTCACTGCCCAGCAGACTTAGGGAGACCAGGTGGTGTTACATTTCCTGGTGAAAATCTTAATCTTGTGAAGTGTTTTGCTGCATTTTTTGGAGCACTGTAGCTGCATTAGGTTATAGGGCTTTGCGATGAATAATAATAATAGTTCTTTCACAAAACAAAAATTTAAAAAAGCATTACTGTCCCTCTAAGGAGATCAGTTTTGTTCAGGGCATTGGAGTAGGATAAACTTTGATTTCTGAGTGCTGCCAACTTTGTTGTGGGCTGCAGAAGGGAGAAGGTGTTGTCTGGTGGACACTATGCTGACACAGTGGATCTGCTATCTGGTGTCCGACTGTGGCTCCACTACAGGCTTCCCATATAGTCTGTCCACAACTTGGCTTCGCTGTGTAACCCAAGAAAATATTTTTCCATCTTACTGATCTGTAAGAAAAGCAGTGTGCTCAGTAGCCATGGAGCATATCCCGAGTGAGTCGGTTGATAGGATTGTCCTCCTTAGCCATCCTGTAGGTCTCTGGCAGAGCAGTTACCACCAGTCTGAAATGGTTTATTCTCAGTGTAGGGATGGGATAGACACATATAGTCTGACACTGGCCAGGTACAACTGAAGGGGTCTGGAAAGCTTCCCATGGTGTTGTCTGTGCTGTAAGCAGGGGATTTACCAGGAAGCTCCTTGCAGTGAAGGGTACATGCTTGTGTGCCAGGTGCAGCTTCACCTGAGGTAAAATAAACCAGACATAGGTGTGCTGGTGCTGCTAGGTCTCATCCTGTACCCAGCCAGCTTGTGGCTGAGCAGAGTGAGTACACCATGAGCAAACCAAAGCAAAAACCCAAGGCCAACATGTCAGGATTTAACTCCCCATCCACGCCCTGTGACCTCCTTCAAAGACGTGTGTGTGGGGGGCAGCAGGCTGCCAGCGCAGTGCCAGGGCCCAGCTTTCACAGCCTGCTCTTGCCCTTCTTTCTCCGACAGGTGAAGGGCGTGGAGAGCCGCTGCACCGTCAGCTCCCAGTACCGCATGTGCTCCTACTACCCACCCGCTTCCTACCTGGGGCAGGGGGTTGGCACTCCCACCTGCCCCCCTCAAATACTGACCTCTGAGGACGTCCCTTCCTGCTCAGAGTCAAAAGCAAGAGGTAAGTGCACCCAACAGGGTGTCTGGGACCATCTTGCAGACACTCAGGAGGTGTGGCTTGCTGCTGGGAAAGAAGCTGGGCATCAGAAAGTAGGTGTTTACAAGATGGTGGCCATTTTCTGGAAGGCTTGTGGAGCAGTGGCAACCTAGGACTGTTACTATACAGTAGTTCAAGCTTGTATTTCAGCAATCTCATGGTTCAGGAGCACATTTGGTCATGCCTTTCTGCTTCTGTTTATGTCTCCCAAGTTATACGAACAGTCACTTGAGATGCCATCTTTGGTGCTCACCACATGGCTCCCTCACAGGAACAAAAAATTATCTCCCTCAGCCACAGAATTATTATTATCATTATTACTATATCTCAGAAATGCTGTCCATTATTTTCTCCACTGAGCCTTTGCTGTCCTCTTCCTTCTGAACCACATGTGGGACTATTCCTGCATCCCAACCATGTCATGAAACCCTTTGCAGACTTGCTTCCTTGTTTGCCTTCAAACTCATTGTGCTATTTTACTTAATTTAAAACTACTGCAGATATTTTTGTCTTTTCATATCCAGTGTTTCTTGGCTGTCCTAAGGATTACTATAGTCTGCAATAATTTTCAGGATAGCGCTGATGAGTCTACCACCTGTTAATGTGGCCCTGCTGGAGTGGACTAACCCCATTGAGCTGCTTCCCTGTCCCTGGAACAAGACAGTAACTGATGCTAGAGAAACAAAAAGAGAAAGAGAGTAGGGTGGTATTTCTTTATATGTCCAAAATCCTCATGCTTCAGCAGCATTTGAAGATGTCCTGAGCTGCTGACTGCTTCTGAACCAGCAATTTGGTGTTAATTTCAGTTACCAGCAGCAGACCTGCATCCGTGAATTGAGCTAACCCTTCCATAAGCTTTTCACACCTTTTGTCTTTCTGTAGCAATGAATTTGATGGTTTAATTTTGTGTGATCTGTGGGAAGCACTTCTTTTTGTTTTCATTACACCTGCCAATTTTTGTGTGTGTGTTCTGGGTTTTTTTGAGGTTTTTTTTTGCACAGAGTCACATCACTGGCCACAAGATCCATCCTCATTTGCTTCTCTGGTGCCCTTATACATTGAAATTAATCTTCTCCTCTATATCTAATGTAATGATGTGTGTTGCATATGTTCCATAATTGTTTTCAGTCATAGCCTTTCTGTGGCTGATGTCCCAGTGTCTGTTGCATTTGTGTTGTGGTGAAAAATGCAATGGTTGTGTCATGACAGGGCCTTAAGGACTCAAATGAAGTTTTGGAAGGTGAGGTATGTATAAAGTCATACTTGTTGCTGGTGTAAATCAGCACTGAACCCTTGAATTCAGTAACTCCAGAATGATTTATGCTGAGGATGTGGCTGCTCTTTCAGAGTGGCTGTTTTCTGAAAATCTTCCAACTAACTGTGACGTATCAGATAGATGAAGAAACAGCGCGTGGTGTGATGAAACCTTAGACTTTTCCTTCTTCTCCAGCACTTTTAAATGACTTAGAGAAATCAGTGATCCTTGGTTCATTTTCCTTCTCTTTTCTTCAATTTTATTTTCTTCTTCTCTGACCACCATTGAACAGTGACGTCTTCCTTTCTGCCCATTGGTCAGAGAAGCAGTTGGCTTTATGCTCAACTGAAGTTGACACTTTTTCTTGCATCCATCACTACTAACTCACTAAGAAGTCTTACCAGTCGAATGTTCTTACAAATAGACAAAAGACCTTATACACTTTGTTCCCAAATGCACTTCAGTAATTTTTCATCACTCTAGAAAACAGTTGTGCGTAATGTGATTTTTAAGCTGCATAAATACTGTATTTTCAATAATCCTTCACTGCTTCTCCAGACAGTATTCCACACACAGATATTGTTCCCTAAGTTACACCATCAATCAGAAACTGACAAGCAGTGAGATGTAATTTACTGAAATCAAACAGCATTTTCCAGACTCTGAAGAAGTGTTTTTCCATAGCAGGGAGCTAGTGGGTGAAAGAGGCACCAATATTTTTCTGAGAAACTTGAACATGTGCATCTTCTTTTCCGTTATGCATGTTCTTGGAGGAGATGACTGCTTTTACTTTTTCCATCTGCAGATAAAATAATATTCTCAGGCTGTTAGTCAATGATTTGGTGTTCCATAAGGTTGTTGGTTTTTTGTTTTTTTTCCTAGTGCTTTTCACAGTCCTCAGAGGGTTTGAGGTTTTTTGCCTCTTTATTGTGATCTGTGTGAGTGCTGAGTCAGCTACCAGGCTGTGACTGGTGGATCCTGCCTATTAAAGAGGGTGGTCTGGTTCCCCAGAGTGGTGACTGCCCATGCTACAAGTGCTGTCTCACACGAAAGACACATTTTTACATGTTTCTCCACTGATTGTGGGCTGAACTTTCTGTACAATGCCTAACTGCTTTGTATGAGGCCTGGTGACATGCTTCTGCAGGGTTAGTTGTTACTGCTTCCTAAAGACAACTCTAGTGCATGTTTTAAATACACAAATCAGATTTTACTCCTTCCCTTTCTGTGGTTGAAGTGGTAACCACGCTCAGAGACTTATTTTGTTTTTAAGAATAGTTGTTCATAGATTTTAGGTCCAGAAGGGAACATTAGGATCATCTAATCTTACTTGCTATATAGCACAGACTGTAAAACTTCACTTAATAACTCCTGCAACAAGCTAATAATTACATTATAGTATTTATGTGAAGACTTATGTATTGTTAATCCAGAAACTTTACGGGATGGTAACAATGCATACAGAAACACAACAGGTCAAAATAAAAAACTAATTTTGCAGCCAAATTCTCAAAACATTAGAAACATGAGTCTTTAACAAAAATGGTTATTAAATTCCCAGGCGTAAATGTGAGATGACCTTACAACACATGCAGTCTATTATCCACACTTCAGTTGTAACTTCAGCTTTATAGAGGTTTTGCCAGTTCATGTATTATCTGTTAGTATTTCAGTCAGGCTATTTCATTAATTTTGTTCTGCTAAGTTAACTGCCTGCTTAGACCAGTTTTATTGAAAGGGAGGAGAGATGAGCTATCAGACCGCTGATTTACATTTTTTTTGTTTTTATGAATGATGCCAAGTTCTCAGGAAGCTTCTGACATTTGTGCATGAGGTCACACCATGTTACAGTGTGTTGCATATAGTAATGGGCTGACATTTTCTGAACAGCAAAACACCATCAGTCAAACTTCTTGCAATTTGAAGTGGTGCTAAGTGAAATGGTTTTGCTTCCAACTAAGCACAGCTGCTGCCCTTCCAACTGAAACTGGAAAAAATAGGGAGAAAAAGAAGATAAACCACTGTCAAATGACAAAAGGATATTTTCAGAGGACTCTCTTATTTCACCAGTTTGTAAGTTTTATAAAATAATTTCTGGGTAGGAGTGGGATTTTGTACTCTATACTTTCAAAAGAGTTTTTCTCTCCTCCTTTTGTGCAAGAGCAATAAAAGGAAAAGATGTATGAGAGGTTGTTATCAATGCACAGGCATGCAGAGCGTACTTTAAAATACATCTCTCTTTTTGAAGAAGCCAAGCTGAGAGCTCCTTATGCAAGAAGTGGAGGAATTAGAATGGGTCACAACAGGGTATTTCATCCCCAGAAGCCAAGTGCCTTATTACCATTGATTTCTGTGGGACTGTGGTGCCTCTTTTAAAAAATTATTTTTAATGTGGCTTTTTCAGGATTGGATCACTGCCCAGATAGCACCTTCCAGTGATTTTGAATCAGCCCCTCCTGCAGTAAGATTAGTGAAATACTGGCATGAGAACTTAGTTTGAGAGAGCAAGAAAATACATGCTTGGGTGCTGTGCTCTCGGACCTCTTTCCATTGAGTTGAGCAAAAGTTGAGCATTTGCTTATCTGTATGAGAGTGTTTTCCAGGTTTGGGAGAGTGGCAGAAAAAGATAACATTCAAGTAGAAGGATGCAAAGGAGAAACATCCCTGTATTTGCAGACACCTTCGATTTTAAAGTAGTTACCTTGTCTTAAAGTTGGCATGAAATAAAAACTCCTCTTTGTCATTGTTGTGTGAAATGTTGAGGTAATTATTCTGTGTGTCTGTGCCCTGGTGAAGGAGACACCTTGCATTTAAGGGCATGTTGGAAACAGTCTCTCTGCCTAAGACAAAAAGTTTCATTTTGGCAAAAGCATCACTGGAATGTGAGGAATGCCCTGCGCGCCAGAAACACACACAAGAGATCAGTATTTCTTTCAACCAGGTTGCTGTGTGCTGAAGTTATGCCCTACTTTTGAGATTTCCTATGTGTAGTATTTTTGCATGAACCTGTGCCCTTGAAATGGCATGTGAGATAAGAGTGACACTCCGGAGCCACAGGTGGCACCTGGCTGTGGGATCAGAGAGGTCAGGGAATCCTGGTAGGCACAAGGCCTTTGAGACAGTGTCCTTGAACTTGAAACAGCTTTCTGCAAGCATTCAAGTTATGCAGTTGAAACTGCAACAAAGCAGGCTGGTATGGTAAGGCTAAGAAATCACTCCAGAGAGTGGAAGTAAGCTTTGCATATGTCTGCTCTTTATTTGCAGCCAGCTGACACAATGCACTGACAGAGCTATGCAAGTGAAGCACGTAGAGAAGTGGGGTACAACAGCAGAAAATAGTAAAAAATTTTCCTCCATCAGTGTAAGCTGAAGAGCAGCTGTTGCAATCCCTCGGGGTCTGTGTGTTGTCAAGCCTCAGAGGTAGCACTTCTGCTCCTTTTCTACATGCCTCTTCAGTAGAGCACCAGCAGAAATACATCTTGAATTTGGAGAGGGACTTCAGCAGCAGAATATGTGGGGAGCATATAATTTTGCTCCTAGAACTCATGCAGTTCAGCAATATTTAGCTTGTGTGTTATGTGTGCCTGTGTCTTATCTGTGCATCTTTTGCTTAAAAAGTGACTTCTGTTCAAGACTATGCTATCCTTAGTGTTGAGGGAGTAAGCGGTGTTTGCTGAAACTCCAGATGGTATTTTCCACTATCCATCAT